CTTGTCAGAACGGGTCAGAGGTGCTGTACCTTCCAGCTGACCCGTCCAGTTTCTTGACGGAAGCAAACTAGTGACTCGACGTCTTATTGTAACCGCTGCTGGTGAATAAAAGTGACTTTTTAAAGAGCCGAGTGCTGGTCAGAAGGTGTTGATCCCGCGGTCCTGTGTCACATACGCTCATGTGACTAAGGCATGCACACGCGTGAACACGCCCATTTTATTCATCTCATGATACGTTGCCGACCTTCCTCTCCCCAGTGCCTCCAGGGTGACAAATCCAAACCGCTTACCATGTATCAATGCCACCTGACAAAGTACAGGTGCCAGAGACCCCGCAGAGCCCCTGCTGGCATATCCCCGCCCCCACCCACCCCCAGTCCCCGACACAGGCGGCAGAATGCAACTGCACAGGGCCAGTCCCCGTGCACGCAGGATGGCCTCCCGCAGTGCTGCGGAGCCGCTCAGACGATGGGGTCCCCGAAGGAGCAGGACTTCTCGATGGCCAGGTTGTAGCTGTTGCCCGTGCCACCTTTGTAGGTGCTGGTGACGATCCGCATCCAACCCCTCTCGCCCTGGGAGGAAGAGGAGGAAGAGTGGGCCTGTAGGGGCGCCTCACCCCCCACCCCGTCCCGCTGACAGAAAGGTGGGCGTTCTCCTGCCGGCCCCTCAGTTTCCCCAGGACTGCGATGTGGAAATCGCTTTTACAAATACTGCACTTGCCTGATACTGGACTGCATGACCCTGTGTGTCAGACCAGACGACTGCTCTCCGTGTTAATATCCTGCTCATCAGCACTCAGCACACACGATCAGCACTCTGCCCCCACACTCGTCACCCCCCGTTCCGTGTGTGTCTCCCCGACACTGGCAATGGCAGATCCCAACCCTCGAAATTCCATTCTGACGGCTAATTATCTCCCAGCTCTGCAGCCCCACTCCCAAGCAGCTTTGAAAAAAACGTGGTTGTAAAGGAAAAAATGGGTGGTGGGGGGGAGCCTAGTACTGCCATTCTCATTCAGGGACCACTTTAGCTCCCTTCCCCTCCTCCTTGGGCCACTGGGTAAAGTTCAGAGACATTTTTTGAGGCCAAGACGGGG